AAGACAGACATAAACGTAAAGTAATGTTGGAACTTTTATTAAATTTGCCCTCTTTAGGTATGTATTTAAGAACAACTTTTTAGCGTATTTTTTAAGAATTAAAGAAAATATGCTATTGTTACCGTTTTGTCCGGACCCACTTCTACCGTTTTGAACTACTTCTAGGGGAATGGTCCTAGAGTCCTGGAATTGTTTGCAATAGATAGCCTATACCTTAAGGCGTGCCAGACGGTCATCAAATTTCGCTGTATAAAAGCCCCCCCCCCCCACGAATTATTGCCTGAGATGCTGTTTTTGAAAGTAAAACGCGCATAGTTTTACATACGACAACCAATTGGTTTGGTAACTTTCTCATGCGACTCTTTTCCGAGATCAGTGAGCGACGGGGCCCGGGGGGGGGGGGGGGGTAATGTTTTCTACCAACTACTGCCCTTCTTTCTGTCCTCTTATCAAACTACCGGGCGGAGGGGTGGAGGGGGAGGGGGGGGGGAGTGGAAAAAGTTTCATCCTTCATGGTACTCTAATGAAAGGTCTCAACGAAAGGAATTACTTTCTACCAACCATAGCCATCCTCCTCGACCTCTTATCGTGATCGGGTATATTCCCTTATACCTCAAGAACGGATTTTCGGAAGAGGGTACTCACAAAGGGCGATTGAGACGTCTGCAAGGAGTATATCCATTGGTGATGTCACAACAAAAGCTATTTCGGTTAAAAAAATGCGCTTTATCTGCACAAGAGTTGTGCACAATTTATACTTCTTTTAATACATTTATTTTGTTCTGCACCTCGGGAGTTTCTGGTTCGGCCGCTTAGGCGTTTCCCGGGGGTCTGGGGGCAGTCGCGCAGTAGGGGCACTGATGGAGCAGGGGCGTCTTGCGCATGCTGGTCGTTACTGAGGGGTTGCGAAGGACGATCAGAACTGGTACCTCGTCGTTTATGGTGAGTTTAAGACGGTTGGCCAGCTGGCCTTTCCTCTGCAGGAACAACAGCAAGCAAACAGCCTTTTGGTCTCTATGGAACTATTCCGCCGTGTCCGCGTCTTGTGGTTGTCGCAGTGGTCCATCACGAGCTTCTCCATCTCTTCGTAGAAAAATGGATGGTTTCCACCAAATGGCTGCGGCTTTTCTCAGCCGTTGCTTCCCTTCCTGGCTGTCCACTGGCTGACTCTATGACATAGTTTTTCACTGCTTATGGAAACACTTGGTTGGGTCCTCACTTAGTTGCCAGAGAAGCTCACTGTCGGGGTCGTGGCACGCATTTAATAAACATGGTCGCCATTTTGCATCCTAATGGACAAAATGTTTGGTACAGGGGCTTGCCCGGATTCCGTCATACATTAATTTTTCTTATACCGCCACCGTTATAAAAGCAAATAGATGGAAGTCTCTGGCATTCCGTAAGATTTGGTTAGGTGCAGAACGGTCAATGGTTAAAAGTGGAAAGATAAGAGCAACATAAAAATTTAACAGTTAAGTATGCAAAAAGCCGTGATTTTCTTAATAACTAAAACGCGTTAATCGTACTTATGCAAATCATATTTCGGGCTTTTTATCGATACTACAATACAAGGTACAGTTACCGTCTTCGCGAAAAAATGCAAATTCATATCTGTATGACATTGTATTGCCATCATCGGCGCAAAATTCCAATGACCCGTATTTTTAAACTTGAATTTGCACAATACCTGTTACGTATGTTTAACAGTTATGATAACATCTCGATTGTAGTAGGTGGGTCGGCATTTCGCAAATTGTTTCCGTAATGAGTCGTAAAGAGAATATTGGTACTGTAGGTTTTCGCGAATGACCTTGACCTTTTTTTTGGACGTTCGAAAGTAAATAAATAAATGGGTAAGAAAAAAGTGTTGAACGTTCGTTGACACTGAAGATCCATTAAGTGCGCATACTAATGATGTAAATAGAAAATAAAGACGATTACATATATTATGACCGTAAGGTGTTGTGCATCTTGCATGAAATTGTAACAATAAAACGTTTATTGCAGTGGTAATCTATGGAATTAGGTCAAATCAACAATTAGATCTAATTGTAAAAACACCTACTTAAATAAGTAGAATGAGAGTGAGGCTGATTTATTATTGGTAACTTTGCCTTATCAAAGTTTAGGATCGTCCCCTCATTCTACAAGATGGTACCATTTTTGAAAAATTCATGGCAGACACTCAAAGGGGACGTCGCCGTATCAAAGGTTTCAATCGGCCATAACAAAACACACTGTCCCGGAACCTCCACAAGAGAGGGGCCCTTAAAATAAAGATGAAAAATACCGAAATTTCGAGGGCATCACCTCAATGCATGAAACCATTGAATAAATTGTTTATTTAATGATAAATATAAATTTTATTTAAACAAATGAAAAATTAAAAATTTCTAAAGATCAAACATTCATAATAAATAATAAATTTCTTCCATGGGGATCGCAGTTGGAATTGTCCCCATTACACTTGCCGCATTGCCACGTTGTATAGCAATACTTATATTTTGTCTTAAGTAACTGGTAGCTCGGGGTTCTCCAGTAATACTGGCAATACGTTTTCCTAAACACTCCACAAAATTACGAGCTCTCTGCACCAAGGTCCCAAAGTCTCTACTGCGAAAGGTATAAAAATATGATAAATAAAATATTATGTTTAATTATTACAATTTTTATACAATGATCATAAATTTACGTGTGTTTTTCCCTATGTCTACTTTTCAAAGACAAAATCTCTTCTGAAGACCGCCTAATTTTATGCATCTAAAATAACTTCTTAAAAGAAATAAGAATCTGGCTGTCATATTAATTATTTTGAATATTGTTGTTTTGGTTTAATAGAAAATAAATCTTTTACGCTCCTTAAACTGTTACCGGCCTATACCAATTCACAATATGAACTTCTTCTTCAGTTGAATACATCGCATACGAACGAAAATAAAAATACGGAAGCTACAGTAACAATATTGAAATTAATTAATGTGACAGCCAGATCTTGATTTGTTTTAAGAAGTTATTTTGATTGCATAAAATTAGGCGCCCTTCAGAAGGATTTTGTAATTTAAAAGTACACTTTTTCCAAATAAACCGATGGTCCAACGTGTTTCGTTTGGGAGCCACCCCCAAAAAAGTGGTGAAATTTGGATTTCTTCTTTAATTTTTTTCTCGGCAACCATAAGAGTTACAAAGATGGGTGGCACGTCTTTGAATAGGTTTTCGCGTATGCCCTATCGGATTTTGAAAATTCGAAAAAAAAAGTTCCACTGCAATTCTTGGCCGGACAACGAAAATTGAGAGAATTCCACGAAATTTGTTGTGTACATACTTGATGAGTTAAGGAACAAAATTGTCGAACAGTTTTTTAAAATAACTTTTCAAACAAAAGTTACACTCATTTGAAGATTGAGCCTTCGGGTTACAAAGTGTCCCCACTCCCACGCCTACTAGTAAGTACACACACACATAATTGAAAATGTCGCAAATAACAAAAAAGAACGATTTGAGTCCCAGGCCCCCCCCCCCTTCCCCCAGCAAGATAATTGCCTTCTCCAGAACGATTTGAGTCCGGCCCCCCCCCCCTTCCCCCAGCTATTGCCTTCTCAGCCCTGCCCAATCCTTATATATGCTCCGCCAGCTTCTCCACAGGCTTATCACTTGGTCCTGTAATCCTTCTCCATGGGCACGACTCGGCTTAGGTAGGTACACAACTCTTACCTTTCTCTAGCTTTCGAGGATATACCCTAAAGCCTGGGAGACCCTAAAGAGGTGGGATGTAAGAACAGCGGTTCCAGGCCCTTCTGCAGAAGAGCCGGGAATATCTTGTCCGGTCCTGCACTCTTAAATGGGCGGAGCGTGTTGACCACCCTTCTCACAGATCCCGCGGTAACCACCCGAGCAGCTACTTTCCAGTCGATCGCCCTTGCACCAACCCGAGTAGCTTCTTTTGGTGGGTCCGGAGTTATTTAGTCCTCAGCGTTTAGTAAGTGTGTTTCCAGAAGACATGTGACAGCCTCTCCAGCGGTAGAGGTGTATCTGTCTCATGGAAGCCGCAGTGTTGTAGTGTACTTAACCCCCAGGTTCTACACTAACTTCACCCTACAAGAACACGGAAATAAAGTCAACCCGGCAAAGTTTAAAAAAATGGACACCCGAATGACTATTCTCACCAAAACTAAACAAGATCCCGCTTAAATTTGAAAAGTGGCACGCGATCAAACATCTAAGACAGGACCCCCTTACGTTAGTTGTAGATAACGTTTTGACCTGAAGCACAGTAGGGAAGGAACGTTAAATAAAACACTGAAATTGTGAAAAGTTTGTTTAATAATGATCGCAATTATTAAGATTGTGAAAGCTCGGAAATTTAAGTCCAAAATAAATTACTACAGCTTTTACCACCCCCGTGACTGCTTCATTCACGGAGGAAATGGTTAGTTACAAACAACAACTCAGTACATACATCAATAACGAATCGGTAATTTCCACATACTAAAATAAAATGGTCAAAACTTATATGAATGTTACTTCAGGGACAAGACCAAGTAATCAACATCAATAAACATAAATTAAGCAAGCATTACACCAAAAACGTAAACAATTACAAACAATAGCATAACGGTATCACATATGTCGTTCTGTATTACGGTTAAACCAAGTAAATTTTAAAAACAAAGATTCAAACACACAAAAAATATAAAATGTGGCATACAAAACACAAATACAATATAAAGAAATGCAAAACTTACTACCTGCATTAAATAACAACAAACATTTATGGAGCGACGCGTTCACGACCGCCATTCAAGACAAGATGGCCAAACGTAACCCCCGTTCGTGCTTTTTAGATGGCGCAGGCAGCTTTTTCCCACCTAGAAATTGCATGGTTGCCAACTCTCAAAAATGTATGTATCGTCCTAAGTTGTATATACAGAGTGGAACCTCTCAGTGTTTTCATTTTTATCCCGGGTCTTTCAAAAGGATCTTACGAAGTTTTTGAATTCCAGGAACCCTCTACGTTACCACAGCAGATCCTCCATGATCCTCGTTTACACCGAATGTAGTCCTTATACCTGCGCTGAGCGATTTTGGAATCACCCAGTCCACAGGCAGCTTAATTTTCGCATGACCCTGTATAGAGCCTGCGAACCATCTTACGAACCTTTTCAAGGTTTAAGTTCCAACGAGGTGTTCTATTCGTTCAACGAAAGGTCCCCAGTTTCCCGCTGACCTCATGAGGCCGTTATGTCGTCGCTTACTAATGCGGCCGCCTCTTACATCTACCCTGCTTTGCGGCAGAGCTAAGGTGTCCATCCAACCGGCGCATACCATATACGTCTAATCAGACACCCTCCAAACCGTCATCATTGAAAAGGAGCCCAGCGTCAGATCGATAACCTCTTGCCTCCGCGCTGTGACCAAGGTAGGGGATCCTCATTGATTTAAAACATTCAAATCAGTTGTTTGCAAGTACTCCAGGTGATCGCTCCACGAGTTCGTATCCGCGCTGCCCCACGCAACACGGTGTACGTTTGCATCATAGCCAACCACAAGAGGGAGCCCACAGTACACTATCAACTCAGCCAGTTCCCTGGTAGGATCTAGTATGAAGCTATCTCTAGCTATAAGAAAAATATATTGCTATGGAGGTAAAATAATGTCAGCCCAAAAAACCAAGTTAAGTTCAGAAAGTTTCAGTGGCTGCGCCTATACGAGCGTGAGATTTCGAAGACTCATTTGAAGTCAGTGATGGGCATTTGCAACTCATTTAAATTTGAGAAAAATCATTCAAGGTGAATATCCTGGCGCCGTAGTCGATGTCATGAGTTTTATTGGGAAAGACTGTAGGTCTCAGAATGGGTGTGAATTAGAAAAACCAGGTAGCGGAAATTTTTTTGTTGGGAGAGAATCGAGAGACAATACGCGTTAAGCAACGATAGCGTTTGCACCAAGCGGTTAAAAAAGGTTTAAGTTGACCACCCGTAAGTTTACACGGGGTGGTTTGTGAAGGATTCACGTCGTAGCTCGAACAATTAGCGCGAAATGGTCAGCGAAGTTAAGTGATAGGTGAAGTGAGGAACTTCTGGACTTTTAACGTGAAGAACCGTTACAACAACTCGTTGGAGACCATGGTGTGAGGACACTTGAGCCACTACTGCAACTTCCAACAGCTTCTACCGCTCACTCGCCCTTCTTCTTATAATGTAAAGTACTAAAATATGTTCAGGTTCTGTTTTTTTGCCCCACAAAACGGCCATCTGTAACTACTGTAACCGTAGATACATTAATCAAGTTGTCATTCTATACGGTTCAATGTTTTCCGAACAGAAGATTCTCCCTGACCATTAAAGCATTCCACCTGACAAAAGTTCGACGATACGATAGGCGAATTTATTTACAAAAAATCGTGTTTTAATCAATCGAGAAAAACGTATAAATATTAATAAACAAGCAAAACCTTTCAAGTATCGCGAAACCATACGCGGAATTTTTTTGACTGTACGGCCAAAGTTGTTAATGTCCCTCATTTATCTTCGTTAATTCGGCAGAACAGCTTTAGCTCTTGCATCCTCTATTTTGGCAAACCGCAAGAGTGCAAGGTCGTAGGAGGCGATAAAAATTCAACTGAACTGCAGGTCACAGCTCGCTAGATGACAACAACCCGGTTATTCAACCACTGAGGAGGTGCGTAAGAGGCCGAAGAACACTTCATTACGAATTCTCCTCGCGAATTTTGATTAATACTTATTGGGCAAAAAAAATCAGTGAGCCAGTCCATCACCGGTACGATGATTTACGAGGAAGCATTAAATCAAAAATCTCGAAGGTGTTTCGAATACACGCTACCGAATTTTCCTTAACAATGTATAAGTGATGGTCTTCGAAAATGTGCTACACGCAATTTAAATGCAAATCACACTTTACATTCCAAAATTCAGGCCGTATATTATATTTTTGTGAACGCAAACATGTTATGATAGGTGACTATGCCAATTTGTTCGTTTGAATCGAACGAAGTATGACACATCGAGCCTTTAGGTCAACCTGCGCGCATTTTGTTCCACGCGATAAATAAAATTCTTTAAATAGTTTTCATGTTAATTTATTCGTCTTGTTAATATTCCGATACGTGCTTTCAATTACTTTTCAGATGGATCCTCCTTATGTCCGGAGACGGGTGTATTTAAATCAGGTCCATTGAACAAATCTGAGAAGAATAACTTCAAAAAAGTCTATTAGTGTAAAAACTATTAGAAACTCTCGTAACACCTATGCAGTCCCCAAGCGTTTCGGAAGACGACTGGTCCTAGTGAATGGACTTAGGAGTCGTTATTAGTATTGGCTTTACTGTTGTATGTCTGGACACTATTGACCCGGCTGGGCTTAGTTCGGTCGATGGAAGATTTTGGAGAACAGAGTGAGGTAGTGGCGAAATCATCGACCTAGACCCTAGACAGTTCTGTAAAAGGCGACTAGAAGGTGGTTTGCAAGGAAAGAACGTTATTCAGAGCAACCAGATGTTTGCCTCACTGGGCATAAAATAAAATTGAACCTCTTAGGCTAGTCATTGGAGATTTTTATCTGGAAAATAAGTCCGGAAGTTTTGAAACTTTGTAGGTTTATAGGTTTTGGGATCTAGAACTAAATTCACAGAATGCACAATCCGAGACATGCCGCCGGCGCCGCCATCTTGCCAAGATGGCGCCCAAAAACGGTTTTTGCAAATATCTCCAAAACTATGCGTGTTTCGAAAAAGTATGTAGAGCGAAAAATTAAAGAGGAGGAAGTTTCCTATGAAATATGTTCCTAGTAAATATTTATCACGAAATAATGGCATATCTTTTATTCAATTAATCAATTAATTCATTAATTAATCCATGTTAATAATTTATGATCAATTAATTCTGATTTCAAATGCTATACTTGTTTCCACACCACCCAAGAGGTAGAGTACACGGCGCGTTTTTTTAACGTGGTTTCCCCTGTAGGCCTAATCCACTTAGGTACTAAAATTATCTTTGGCAAAGGCCAAACGGACCTTGCTCGTTGATTTCCATATCTTCAACGGGGAAAATGGTTACCTCAGCTTCAGAATCGAAGTCGATTTCCTTCAACTCGTCGGACTCTCCTTCCGGACTCTCCTTCTGCAGTAGAATGCAGCAGCGAATGGAGATCTTCCTCATCGGATTCGTCCAGTGTCACTTGGCTAATATTTTCACAAGTCTTCCCATTGCAGTTGCAGACACCTCAAATCCTTGAACAATCTCAATCCTGCTTTCCTGCATCCGCAGGCTCTACCACAAGCCGCCTTGCACTTACAAGATAAAAAAGCAAGTAGTAGTGCTTTGGGAGCAGGATATCTTTTAAAGTAGTTACTGGAGTGAGGCCAGTTTGTGTTCTTCCAACCCCATTCTTTAACTACTTTCGGACAGCCACGCCATAGTTGAACCTGATAGTATGTTCTCAATGAATGCTGTCGTGCAGCTGCGCTTGTCGGTGGTAAGGATGCCAAATTAAATTTACTTTTTGCTACCGACTTCACAAAACACAGGTATCGATATTTATCAAGATTGATCTCATTGTGTCTTTGGATCCATAGAGTACAAGGAAAAATTTCCCACCGACACAGGCAACTTCATCAGCGGTAGCATGTTTATTTTTAAAAACTTGAATATGATCTTGTAACTCTTTATGTTTTTGTAATGTTGTTAAAAACTTCATTTTTCCTTGGTTAAATAAGGCCGACGTCGTATCACACCCACTTATTGAGTGAAGGAACAAGATGTTATCCTTCACTACTTCGGTTCCTTTGAAACTTTGACGGGTAAATAGCCAGCGCCCTCTGTTGGAGCTTTATTGCAGGTGTGCACATCGACATCTGCACTTATGCTAGGAATGTGCCGGTTTGTCAGTAAATTATAAATATAACGAGAAACCAATTGAATAGCCCGTTTTACTATAAAAGATAAATTTATACGCATAGGTATATGGAGATAGGGGCAGTTTATAGAAATTAACAGAATATGTTGTCATTCAATCACCTCTTGAGCCTAAACGGCTCACTTTAGCAAAAATATGCTAAGAAGATTTCTTGTAGAAAATTCCTGCCTCTTCAATTTTGATATCAACATATTTTTTCGAAAAACGCATAGTTTTGAAGATATTTGCAAAAAATCGTTTTTGGGCGCCATCTTGGCAAGATGGCGGCATGTCTCGGATTGTGCATTTTGTGAATTTTAATTCTGGACATCGAAACATGCAAAGTTTCAAAACTTCCGGACTTATTTCCAGGTAAGACCTATTTTTGATCCCCAATAACTGGCCCGGACTGGCCTATCTACGGCACTGGTAAAAAATATTACAATTTTTATTTGTCCGACTGCTAGCTCAGTAATGCAAACTTTATTGATTCCCCTTACCTTGCAGAAGTTTGGCCCTTTATCTCCTCCGAAAACAATTCAAAATCTAATGCTCCAGTTAGATGTGAAATATACTAAGTAAAACAAAGGCGATCAAATTCCATGTTTCTTTCATAATTAATACCTTTAGTGTTCGCGCACCAAGAGATTTTCCGTGGATGCTTAAATGTGGAATGGAATTGGTTCCGCTTCTGGAACATATCGGAATGCACGGACCGACCACAAACTTCTGGGCATGGTTTCTCGTTAAGGTGCTCCGCCGTGGAAATTTTCATCTTTGTGTCCTTTCTGAAAAATCCTGCGAACTTTCGTCCGCAGCGGGGCGGTGGTTATATAGAGATGATTTCTATCTCTCGGCTTGATTTCGTTTTTCGGGATCCACCTAATTCACCGAGTATCTCAAGGTTGCACGATACACGCTTTGCGACAACGACTGGCGTAGATTTTGCACTGTGTGCCACCGTGTTACAAATGATCATTTCCCACTATTTTCACTCATATTTATAGGTACCGTATTTTATCTGTCGACCTCTTAAGCTCTTTATCTTACAACGACGAATCGTTTAAATTACCACTCCAGGCTAGCATAAGATATTTGTCATTGAACGTCAATAAAGAATTTCTCGATTTTTAATTACATTGCTTCATTTACCTCATCCCGAATATACATACGTAAAACAGCATTTATTATATTATTTTATTTACATCTGAATAAATGAAAAACTTTACTAAATGTTTAAGTAGACTGAATCAAAATTATAGATGACTTCTGTTGCTTTTCCGTGAATTTTCGGGCACGACCGGTACCCTTCCACCGTCTCCACGCGTCTTCCTAACATGTACCACTTCTATCGTTGCTGAGTCATAAATCTGAAATGGAACCAACATTAGTTTGAGCCGCAAGATTGTGGTGTTGAATGCTTTCTACACTCGTCTGGCTGATAAACCTAGGTACCTACTTGGGATTACTATTCGCATGAATCGGTACATATGAAATTTTACTCGGTCGTGCCGCATACCCTTAAACGTTTTAAAAAGAAAACTGACAAGGACAAATGCTACCCTTAAATTTTTACAGGAGCTAATTTAACAAACGCTATTCACTCCAAAACCGTTCAATGGTCAAATAAATTAAATAAATTGAATTAAATTCGCGCCTACACCCATGTTTCCCTATTACTCTAGTGTATCATACTTGATTTAAAATATCCATTTGGCTTATAAAAAGAAGTACAAACAAGTTAAAAAGTAATCGTAAACGATTTACAAAAAGCGCATTTCCACTTGCATTCATTTCCTATTTGTAAGATGCAACTCCTGTTACAATCGTAAAAATCCGGCCACAAATATGCAAGATAGCGTTGCACATGTGCAATCCATTTTTGAGGTGCTACTTCAATTTCCGTTTATAAGAAGAGTTTCATTTCAATGCTTTTCTAAATAAGAAAGTTGGAACTGCGCCTGCGCAAATCTAAATTTTGAAACTACTAGATTTTCCATTGTTCCAAGCGCCTATGTATCAAATTTAATTCAAATACTTTTATAAATAAAAAAGTTTGCAATTCGGTTTATAAATGGTCGAGATGCAAAAAGGGCACTGTGAATTTTGAATCGATTCGACTCAACTTTTGGCATTGCGTATTATATGGCTAAAGCTATGCCCATATTGAATTCAGTTCATAACTAACGGAGATGTCAAAGCGATCGGACATTTAAAAACAATGTTATCGTTCACACGGACAGATAAAGAGACAGACAGACAAAGGAACAGACGGACAGACCAACAGACAGACGACAGACAGCAATACAAAATTATACACGATTTCTAGCATCTCTAATAAACGGCAAAAGTGTAAAATTATGGAACATGTAAAAAAATGGTTTTTTGTTTTTTTTACAATAACTTTTTTAGCAATAAACTCAGAAAAAATTCCTTCCTTAGTGCAAGCCTCGACACCACAACGAACCAAATAGCGTAAAAGTGAACCTCGTAATCACGTTTGATCCTTATCTAAAATTCATCTTAACCACATAATAAATTACGGGTACATTCTCCTATTCAAAATATACCAACCAAAGGAATGGTATCACGTATCACTAAAATGAAATGCAATTTTCCAATCAATGAAACAAAATAACAAAAATTCTTGGTTTCGATTCTTATTCATAAATATAACACAAATCTGTTCATTAAAATGGTTCTCGTAGGTCGATTCCTTTAGGAATATTAAAATTACTTCCTATCAAATTTATACAAATCAACAACTTACAGTAATTTATGCGGGTAACATTCTCTTTTGGTAACAATTACTCTTATCTCTCCTTGGAAAATGCGGCTTTCTTTTAGAAATATGGAAACAGCTTGCTTCGATGTTACAGTTGACACCGTGATGAATGCGAAACTTTAGCAACAAAGATTGTGCTCAATTGATTAACTAGGTTTTGTTGTGGGTAAATGCACTGATAAATTGTCTTTAAATTCCCTGCCGTATTCCGTTGTACACAATATGTATATGCATTTACAAAAATTAAATTTAGTGAAGGTACGAGTATAAGAAAATGGAAGATCCAGCGGTAATTGACAAGTCAAAATCTGTAGACAGTGACGGCGGCGATAGTCGGCAGAACGGTGGCAGGAAACTGTGGAACGGAAATGCTTCAGGCACCAACAGAACTTGTCGGGCTTTCTTGCTTCTGGACAAGATACGATCGGCGATGGTAAGTTCCAGGTAACTCAAATGGAGAACGGCGGTCCCAGGAATTCTAAAGGGCAACCGATGGGCGGCAAATTATCGTCTCTAAATTAAGCGTTTACCTTTTATAAAATTCGGCTACGCCAACGACGGTTGTTTCAGCTCGACGGCGTGTCCTTGCTATAATAGCCGGGGATCAACGGAAAATTATGGGACTGGGCTCAACATTCAAATTTTTTAAGAGTGCATTTGACGGATGTAGTCTCCATTTAGAGCCGATTCCACGATGCAGGTCTATCCCCAGAAAACGCTATACCTAGAATAAACGTCCAAGGTGGCGTTGGTTACCGTTGCATCAACCAATACGATACATGTCGGTATAGCAGTTAGTCCAAGAATATCTTATTCTGCGAATAGGTGTAATTGTAGAATCGGGCCTTAAGCGGATGCTGTTAGCTGTAACCCATTCAACTAATTATAGTTAATTATACTTATTCAAATGGTCGGAATGAATTATCTAAATTCGGCAATTTAATTAAATCTCGCAGCAGTATTTATTATATTATTTTATTTACATCTGAATAAAGGAGATTCCAACTTTACTAAATGATTTAGTATAAGAATCAAAATTACAAATTATTTTTGTTGCGTTTTCGCGAATTTTCGTGGACGACTTGTACGCTCTCACCGCCTCCGGACGTCTTCCTAACCTGTCCCATTCCTATCGTTGCTGAGTCAAAAATCAGAAACGGGACCGACTTTCGTTTGAGCCGCAAGCTTGTGATAGCTTCCAGAACACTTCTCCGTCAACCGGAGCCACTATTATTATCTAATCGGTGCTGGGCTCAAAATCGATACGGAACCAACGCAAACTTGAGGAACCACGTCTGCTTTCTGGCAGCTCACGCTTCCTTAAATTTTTTAAAAAGAAAACTGACAAATACAATGCTACCCTTAATTTCTTACAGGAACTAATTTAACAAACGCTACGCACCCGATTCATTACACCCGCATATTCATCTAAAGCCGCATTATAGTCAACATGGATTCTTTCACATGATTTGTGGTAATCCCAATTATGCTGTAGATTGTACAGGGTGTTTTTTTGGGAGCCTTAGTTAAACGTTTCTGAGAAAGTAAAATGGTAGGTTTTTGAACATTTGAACTTAGGAGTTACTCTGACGGCCGAATCGATGTAAAATATTTTCAAAATGGCCAGACTTCCGGAAACACCGGAAGTAGATAGTAACTTCGTTATTTTAAATGGCAACCCCTATTTTTTATTGCATTTTTGGAATTACGTGAAATTTCAATTCTTTTGATGCCCATATGTCGATATCTGCCATTTATGGTTTTTAAGTTATTTTGACTTTAAGAAAAAAAATGGCGGATGCAGACGGTACCTTGATAATTGATTACTTGAAAACGGTTGTAGTCATGGCAACCCATTTTTATCAGTGCATAGAGAATGAATAGGGCTTTCTTTTAGTGTACTTAAAAAAAAGTTGCGTACAACCGCACCTATGGAGATCCAAATTTAAGAAACTTTAAAGTCTATAAACTCAGTTTTTTTAAATGGAATGACCATGTTCTTACTATTGCATGAGATAGAGAATCGAAATTGACATATTTTGATATTACATGTTCCTATAGCTATCTTTAACAGTTTCTGACTTATTCCCATTTTATTGAATTGACACTATTTTTTTCGGATTTTCTTTTTAGTAGTCGGCCATGATTTTAAAACAATCGAATTTTAAACAAATCTAGTGACACTAATCCGTCACCTACTGTTATAGGTGAACATAGGTTTTTCAAAAATCGAAAAATGACTCGGAGTGGTTTCACCTATTTTGGAATTTAATTGTTATTTATGGTGGAATGGACAGAATCGCGGCACTTGCTTGCCGTACATTCATTCGAACACTGGAACGAAATTGTATCAATTTTGGAAATGTTGTACCCCCAAATGCACTACAAACCGTTGAAGCACAAGTGATACAAAGCTCTACAAGAGAATATTTAAGAAA